TACATATGGGGTAAGATTACTGTCATAAAGAATGGTATCTGTAAGAGTCTAAATTTGTACATTTAGGTCAATAAATGTGCATAAATTTTAGACTTGTACAATAAACATGCATACAATTTAGATTTGTACAATAAACATGCATACAATTTAGATTTGTACAATAAATGTGTATAAATTTTGGAATTGTATTTGTATTCATGTAAAATCAAATGTGTTTTCTGTGACAATACAAGTTTAAAGGTTACAAATACAATTTACAAAGTTACAACTTCGCAACATTACAAGTACGAATCACAAATTTACAAGTACAATTCTTGTGCCCTGAGGAGCTGTCAAAATAACAGACATTATTCATGGAATGACGAAAATATGAACGTCATGCTGAGCATGTGTGAAAAAGACTGCTTATTTGATTTTACATGAATACAAATATAAATCTAAAATTATGTAAGTTTATTGACTTAAATGTACAAATTTAGACTCTTACACATACAATTACTAATGACAGTTCCCTTATTTCAATGATACATTAATAAAAAAGATAAAAACTAAATGTTTGCACCGAACACATCATTTAGTTAGTAAAGTGTCACATGTTGTTCAGTTATTTAAAGATAAATTTGACATATTTTTTATATTTTAGTCTCAACAACCTGCAGCTCATTAAACACATTTACACAAACCAGACTCCTGAAGGACTAAAGTCCAACACTCTGAGACGTTCTGACACTAATTTAAAGACAAATGAAGACATTTTGTCTCCAGATGTCTCCGCTGCAGAGACATCTTGTTTCCAGTCAGGTCTGCTTTTAGGACCGTCTGATCCGAGGATCATGTCCCCCTGCTGGGACCAAGCCCCACTGCTGAGACCGAGCCCCACTGCTGAAATCGAGCCCCACTGCTGAGACCGAGCCCCACTTCTGGAACCGAACCCCACTGCTGGGACCGAGCTCCCCTTCTGGAACCGAGCCCCACTGCTGAGACCGAGCCCCACTGCGGAGACCGAGCCCCACTTCTGGAACCGAGCCCCACTGCTGAGACCGAGCCCCACTGCGGAGACCGAGCCCCACTTCTGGAACCGAGCCCCACTGCTGAGACCGAGCCCCCCTTCTGGAACCGAGCCCCACTGCGGAGACCGAGCCCCACTTCTGGAACCGAGCCCCACTGCTGAGACCGAGCCCCCCTTCTGGAACCGAGCCCCACTGCGGAGACCGAGCCCCACTTCTGGAACCCAGCCCCACTGCTGGGACCGAGCCCCCCTTCT